AGAAGGCTTCTCTGGATGGTGTACGAACTCCCTCCTTGGTTCAACCAGGGGCGGGGGTGTGTGGGGTTCCTGGTTTGGTTCTGATTCAAGTTTCTATGTTGCTGTTTGCCTTGGGGAGTCCCTCGGAGTACTCACTTTATTGCCTTATTCCGCAAAAAGGGGGGATTCCTTATCTCTGTTACTCTTTCGTAAAAGTGGCGTCTTCGTGGTTTTATTTGGTTACTCTTTAGTGAGTGATTTCTTTTATATTTAACGAGGAATATCCTGTTTGCTGTTTTCTTATACCTATACTTTCCCTCAGGGAGTCGATTGCTTGGGAGATATGTTATTCCCTTCTACCATCCCCTAGGTTATCCCTTCTACACGCATTAGTAATATAGCCTCCTCCCCCTTTAGGGCCCTCTACCTCAGCCGGAGGCCAATACCCTCCCTGCCTTGTCTGTGTCTGCCCTCCTTCTATTTGGAGATTTAATCAGGTACCGCTTGGCATCATGTATTCCTGGTGTGCTGCTGTTAATTTTTCTCCTCCCTCTCCGCCCGTCTACTCAACTACCTGGTTTGTAATACCCTTCTACTATATTGAGTACTACTCAGATTCCATTCGGACTATTTATACAAGTGGCTCCTATTATATATCTACTATGCCCATCTTCCGGTAGCCGTGGATTTCCTGCCCGCCCTCCCCTGTACTGGGATAATTACCTTCGGAAGCTATTCAGATCATTTGTCCTCAGGCTTTTATGTTATATTTTCTCGTTATTCCTTAACTAAATTATCATTCCCTTCCTCGATCCTTCATTTATGGCCCACTTCGACTATTTCATACCCTCTTAGATTCCCTTATCATTCTCCTAACTCCCTTTTCTTCAATTTCTTGGACTCGGCAGGCAGATGTCCCTGGCTATTATTTACTATCTATTATTATTGTTCGGAATTAAAAGGATTTCAGTCCCGTCTTTACTCGCACGGTTCCATAAACTACTTTTGCTTCCACCCGTACCACTGGCCTGAAGCCGTTCGTCTCTTTCCTGTGCTGTATAATTACTTTCCTGGGTTCATTGAGTTGGTTTTTCTCTTATTCTGTTTAGGGGGAAGATATATTGCTTTTATAATGTAGGGGTTAGTGTTATCAGGGTTATTAGTCCCACAGTTTACCTTCCTTTATCTGTTATCCGGTTAAGGCTATTGGGGGAAATAATATTATAGGCAATTCAGATAGCTACTTCTTCGTTGACTTTTGCCCTCACTTGTTTCCTCGCTAGGGGCTCGCCCCCACAAGCCCCTAAGTTGGTTGACATGTCCTTTATTAATTTCCCCCCCTTATATTGGCGTCAGTAACTCCCCTCATCCCTTATTTGTATTAGTCCAACTCAACTACGGGCACCCTGCCGGATCCCTTGGTGGTGGGGGAACTGATTCGAAGAGCTTATATTATTTGGGCGGACGCTCATAGTTTTAGTTAACAGTCCAGGGGGCCCTGGTGTTAATATATATTGTCTCCCCTGCTATTACTTATCCCTAGTGTTAGAACCTGACTTCGACTCAGTCTGGGGGTAGAGTTGAAACTACTTTCCCACGGTGAATCCTGCGCCCTCCCTTTGTTTTGTCTTCTTAAAATGGGCCTCCTGTAGCTCTAGGGAATCCCCGGCTAAAGTCACTAAGTACCTTCTCCATATGCTTCTTCCTCCTCCGAGTGGCCCAGTTCTCCGAGATTTTATCACTTCCGGGGAGGTCCAGTTATTCTTCTCCTGGGGGTCAGGTAGCACCTTGATACCCCCGTTCCATCTGTAGGATTTAGTTGCATTTGCCATCAACTTAAGACTAGTATTCTATTAGACCCTGCATTTAGTGGAAAGGGCTTCTCACTAGGATATTACGTCAGGTCTCCCCTTTTTTTTGATAGCTGCAGTTGACGTAGAGCTCTCCGTCGGGGTCCTATAAGCAGCTATTGTGAGTCTTTCCCCTTAGATACCTTTTATATAGGATCCCTGATCAGTCTCTCCGGCGGCTCATTTGATTTTTAGACTGCGCTTATTTTTTCCCCACATTACTTATCCATCCTGATACTTCCTGAGTGCTTCTTTCCCCCCCCCCC